CCGAATGCTAATAAAGTATGTATGTATGTAGTTAAAGGGTTAATTCAAAGTGTGGATTCTTGTAATCAATATGCAAAGATTTGGAATCTTTTTACTCTTGGTATGCACATAGTCCTTGAAAAAAGGAGATAATGCATCAAATGCTGTTTCCTCATCAGCTTTCAGTGCAATTTGATGAGCCACAGGCAAAGTGAAGATGGCAAGACATATGCCAATAACTTAAAGTAAGATTTTTTTTTTGCCTTTTCAATTTAGAATTACCTGAAAGCCTTTTTGATTTGACCCTACAGTTCAACTAGCAGCAGAGAGTTATTCTCACCTGTCCTATAGCAGCCCCTACACTTCCAGTGCCATCCACAATCCCTGTCACAGTAGCTAAAGCTTCACTGTTGGCACTTAGGGCACTCTGTAAAATTGAACACAACATAAAATATGCACCTTGAAGAGAGAGTGTTTCTGGTCACAGACTTTTTTTTTTATTTTTTTATCATTATTATTACTGTTGGACCTTCACACAAAAAAAAAAAAGAAAAAAGAAAGCTAACAACAAAAAAATTTTGTCTGATTTAAAATGATCCTGCATATACACAATTCATGACTGTCCCTGTTATTAACCATAAGGGCAGATAATAATTATTGATCATTGATAGCTCTTTGTCTCAATTTATAATTTCTCATGCTTTCAGCAGAGTTCCAGCCCCCCATTAACTTACAAACAATTGGTTGAACGAAAAGGAAGGATTAGGATGAAATTAGAAATACCCACAATTAGCCAATGGGAACATTTTGTGATGTGCAAGTCACATAAGACCCACACACTTATTGAACAAACCTCATTGTCACTAGGCCCCAGTTTTTCAATAGTTTCTGTACAACAAATCTTTATCATGAAAGTAGATACTAACAAAGCTCAAGGCATGTTTCATTAAGATAGCAAGCCAGCTCCTAAACCCTTACTTGTCTTCCCAGGTCAGCCGATATTGCAGAACTTATCAAGTTAGCAGGGCCACCAACCATAAAACCTACATAACATAACATAACATAACATAACAGTCAGTGAAAAATAAACCAGTGTAATCGTGGACTTGTAAACTGCATTTGATTTATTTCTTCGGAATTGATCGTTTTTGTCTCCATGTGATAACTTCATTGTCTAGTTAAACTTATAAACATTGTATGGTGGCTTGGCTCACAGTTCCGATTCATAGTTACCAATTTCATTCGACAGAAGGGTTGCTATGTATCTACATAATTATCTTATCATGGAATCTAGACTAAAGCAAGCGTAGATACCCTCACGAGAGGGAGGACATGTGTGTGAGTCAGTCCAAAATGGCATTGAAAAGCTGAAAGGGTCTGGCTTCAGATTGATTCCTGCCCAATATTATAAAACTAGTGGGACTGAAAATCAACATCAATTGTATGGAGTGCAAGGATGACCTGAAGTAAGCATGTACACTGGTAAAACCACTAAACACAATAAAAAAAAAAAAGAAAAAAAAAATATCATACAAACCAAGTAACGCCATCAAGCCAGCATTCACCGTGTAATTTCCTCCAGTATCTGCCATGTTATACAGACACGTTGTTAGACAAATGGTTTAAGATTGGAACCAATCATGACAAAATTATAACAATTTCTGTACAGCCTCTCACAACCTTGGACGGCATATCCCAGACAAAGAAACTTTCTTGCACTTGAAATATTGTTAATGTTTTCTTTTGTCAAATAATTTATCTTCTACTCGCAATTTGATCTTGAATTTTGACTTCAGTTAAGAAATTGCTGACGAATTGTAAGACTTACTATCTTAGTGGCTGGCTTCTTAATGAACTGAATGACTGACTTTCCCAGCACTGAGTTTGTAAATTATTAACAATTAATTTTATTATCATAACAGTTGAAAAAGAGGAAAGAAATTCCAACTAACTTCCATAAATAAAAAGCATTGGTACAGACAACACCAGCATTCCAATAACCAATGGAGACCGACTTGACATCAGATCCTGAGAAATTAGTAAAACAAGAAACAAAAAAATAACAATGAATGCATAGTGCTTGGTGACACAAATATCAGTGCACTGATATTACTGACAGTCTCATATCACAAATGGGGATTCATTTGCTCTCCTAATATATCTATTATAAATGACAAAATACAGCACATATGAGAGTGGGGCCTATTGGGGATGGCATTTGATTGATCTATTTTACTGGTGATATGATTCTAAAATCACATTTCAACTTAGGAATGATACAACTTACACTGATTAATCCTCCAATTATGCCACCTACAAGTGATGAAAAATAGTAAGTTAAAATACATAATACAGATAATTGACTTAAGCTTCACATAGCTTGTCAAAACCTTTGTCAAATACAACACTTTTTTAAACCCCTAAGAGTGCCACTAGGTGTACAATGTCACCCCTAGATCAGAACATTAAGGTCAAGAGAATAAAGGAACTGATCTATACAAAAAATGGTGCAGATTAATGAAGTTTTTTTCATGCAGCTTTTGTTCAAGCTGATTTGTTTTTGACTCAGTCAGAACAAACAAGTTAACTTTCAACCCTTAGAAAATGAAGCCTTGAATTTTACGCAACTTTACGATATTATCAAGAGTGTTGTTTACTTCTCAAAATAACATTCATTTGGCTAATATTTTAGAGGTAATAAATTCAAAAACACTCTTAATTACCAACAATTCCTCCCACATCATAAAATGTTGAAATTTTGTCTGCCACTGTGTCCTTCCAGCCAAATTCTACAAAAGATAAAAAGGATTGATTTACATCATCACTCGCAACAAGCAGTGCAAAAAATGTTTGTTAAATGACACTGAAACACTATGAGTGCCATGACTGTTTGAAAACATATTGTACATTGAAGTGGCACAACCATAGCAAACTGACACAAAGTGTCTTTTGTTTTAAATTCATTTCATAAGTACAATGGACTGCACTTTCTACTGGTCTACGTGGTGTAATAACTCACCTGGGATACTGGGAGAACACAAAGTTTGTATATTACTTGCTTCTCGCTCATGGTTACAAACTTTTCTTGTGTTTTTCCATCATCCCACATGGGTTACCATGTTGCTAACCCAATTGAAAGTGTGGTCTATTACTCAAATAACACTTAAACATCAAGTAATAGCCACAAGTTTTACACAGATATTCTGTTCACAAATTTTACTAGATATGACTAAATACAGTACTTACTGTTTGACAAGTAATAAGGCAGCCAGAAGAAGAAAGAATAATTCACCAATTTCAAACAGGCATAAGACAATGAGTACTGGTGAAAAAGAAAAGATCGCCAGTTAGTTACTCTAAAAACATTATATAGTTACATACATTGTAAATGTAAGGTTCACTTACATCTTTTTAATAGCAAAATTTATCCAATTTATCTAATCAAAACTGCTACCACTGAAATCAAAGGAAATATGATGGAATTTGAGAAAGAGTTGCCCATAGTTTTTATGAGATGATGACGAACATGTAATCATTTTTGACAAAGACAACAAACTTTCTCTACCCTCATCTAAGGGAAACAATTTCTTGAAAGCTCTCTTCATTTTGAGCTTCATGACAACTTCAGTGTGGTTTAAGTGTGTACCCACATTTTGTGGGTTGATTTAGTATTTATATATGCACTCTATTGTTTTTCTAATTGGCACAAACAATTTCCGAAAATGTATAGCTAGCTTGTCCGATCGCAAGCACTTTGATGTTAGGTGCGATATATTTCTTTTGTTTCCACACACTATTGTTTCACTAAAATTAACTTAGTTTATAATTAAAATAAAGTGGAAAGCTGGAACTTATATCATGCAAGTTCTTCCATCAACAGCCTTCTTACTCTCATCGGACAAAGGCCGAACGTGGGCGAACAGCTCTCGGAAATGTGGTTTGTGAGCCCTCATGGTAAACATGCCAGCTGCTACCCCCATTTCAGAAAGACACATTTAAACTGTCGTGAAGTTGCAATGCATGGTCTACTCTTCCTATCCCTCTCTAAAACACCAACAGTATGAAGTAAATCAAGTCACATGAAACTGCCTGTCCCTGTTCTGTCAGTGACAGGCAGTGGTTCGAATACCGTACAGGCCTGATTTTTTTCAGGTCTGATTTTCGCTATTGCTTAAATAGCGCTATCTACTGCGAGGATCGTGCATCATATGTATCTAATACC